CTGCAACATTAAATTAGTATCTCAACAATGTATAAGAATATATTCATGACAGTGCAGCGATACTCCATTTTTTTAAAAGTTCTTCTTTGCATAACCTGTATTTATAGATTTATATACTTTTCATTTTTAACCTTTGTCCATTTGCTGAGCTGTCCTGAGAAAGAGGACAGAAAGTACCTCCTGCAGCTGCATATTGTGTGGGAATGAGGATCAGCGATGACGATTTCAGAAGGGAAGGACAGGAATAAGGTTGAGACCAAAGTGGATCATGAAAACACATGCCCTCTATGCAGGGGCAGGGGAGGCATGCAATCCAGCCCCGTGCAGCAGGTGCCGAGCAGTCTGCTGACCCTGTGCTGTCACCACCAGCAGAGGCACCAGATAGTCAGCAAAGGAGCCCCGGTTAGTACTTTTCCTCCCATCTGATTTCAACTAGTGTAGGCTTCACTCTCCCACCTGCCAAGGCCGTGGCACCTGGAGGGCTTGACCCCATTCCATCCAGGTCATCTGAATTCAGAATCAGTGGAGTGGGCATCAGGTTTTACACACTTTGCAACTCTTAGATGCTGTCGACTTGAGGGAAATACTAAGGCTGAAGAGACTCTGGAAGGGATGATCTAAAAATAATATCATGTAGATGCAGAAGAAAATACATTGCCAGGGCATATTTGCACTATAGATGCAGTAGGAACTGCCATTAGACAGCAGAAGGGGCTTTTAAAATCCCACTAGGAAGTAAAAAAAAAAAAAAAAAACAGATTAAACTCCTGAAAAAAGGGGTTTTTTTTTTCCTTTCAGGAATAGTATCTATACTTAAAAATACAGTGATAACTCAGCTTACTACTATACAAAGGTAAACCCCTCCTCAGAATCACCCTCAAGAAATAGCTGCACACATTAAGCATTACTAGAGGACTCTCATTCTTAGGAAAGATTAGAATAAAAGCAGTAAAACATCACCTTTACAAAAGAATTTATTTTTAAGCAATCTTTCCAGCTTGATACCCATCTTTTACAGCCTAGATTCCTTTTTTTGCTACAAGTGGAGCAACTTTATTGCTCAGAGACAGCAATTGGCAAATCCAGAATCCTGCTGGTAGCAGATCAAAAATAAGAACAGCATTAATTGTTCTCATTACCTTCAAGAAATTAATTCAATCCCAAGCAATGGAAGGATATTTAGACCAGCAAAATAGCTGATCTAAATTCTTCCCTATGTCAGGCACATGACATAAGCAAGGGGAACCCTTTGAACCCAAAGCCATTCCCTTATACTTAACCCCAGCCCCCTTTCGATGGTTTCTGCTGTTAGAACTATGGAAAATGCCAACATCGTAGGGCAAAAAGGAGATCATGTTTGGAACTCTCCAATAAATCTTATTATCTCAGTCTTCATATTGCAATATTAATTTGGTTAGGAGCTATAAAGCTTTAATTTGGGGAAGGTGTTTCCCCATATTGCTGCAGTTCCATACTTTATGTAAAACATCTTTAGCAGCAGAATCTGGTGCCTCAGATACTATGGCTAGATCCACAAATTACATTAAGCCAGGACTTGTTAAATGTTATGCCTGACTGGGTTTGCATGTAACGCTAAGTTATAGACCAGAGTTTATGTACCAAATGGCTGAGTCCACACAACATGCTAAAGCAAAATCATGGCACAGCTTAGAACAATGCAGGTGAAGCGAATCAATGTCAAATTATAATAATTTTTCCATAACTGACAAGTAGCATGACTTAAATTAAAAACAATAGCAATCATGAGAAATCACAGAAATATTTGTCCATCAAAGGTACTGGAGTCAAAAGAAATGGCTACAACCAATAAAAATATAAAATATTGAACAGTACACATTTTCCTCTGAATGAAGCCAGAACTCATATTAATCACATTTCTGTAATAGGAGATAGTTTTATCCATGTTCTCCCATATTATAGTTACTAAAAAGAAAACAGTGACCACTTTAAGAATATTTTAATCTGAAAACGTTCAGTATAAATACAAAAAAATTGATCTGTAAATATCTAGATGGATTCTGTATTTTGAGACCATTTCTGAATTAGTACATTCTATATCAAAGTATCCTGATTCTTCCAAAGTCCACCACATTCAATGTCTTGAGTAGATGAGTTAGTCATTAGAATAGCTCTTCATTTCTGATTGTGGAACCATGTGCTTGAGCAACAAAATCAGAGGGGATTTTCCAGCAGTGGTTTTTGGGCATCTGTAGATAAAATAACTCCACAAAATTTCAGGAGGTGGACCTCAGTTTATCTGAGCCAGTACAGTAAGCAAATGTACATTATTCATGTCCCAAATATATAGATCATGTAAGTGTCCAGAAGAGACTATCTACAAAATATATGAAACTAATTGTTACTATAAAAGTTACAGCATCCCATCTTCAGTGCTTGTTTGACTAAGTAGCTGTACATTATATACAGGAAGCCAAAGGCAGAGTCACTGGTTCTAATTCCTGTATTTCAAGGAAAAGAAAAAACGTCTTGCTAAAATCCAACATCTGGGCTTATAAATAGTGCAGAGAATGCAAATGCTAAGAAAACAATGCCTCCTATGATTGTCACTGTAAAAGAAAAAAAAGGGGGGGGGGAGAGAAGGACCATGTGGTTAGAAACTATATAAAAGACAAAATTTCACAAGGCTTTTTTGTACTCTGGAAATTACTTTCATGCCTTTCTTGTTAGCAGCTTTTGGTGCTTGCAGCATCTTTACAAAGCTGTTCTCAATGAAGACACCCCAAAACAACCTTCATCCCATATATTTCCAACACTTTCAGAGTCAAGAAATTATAAATGGCAAACTTATTCAGTGTTTAAATACTGTAGGAAATAACCTACATCAAATGATTTTTGTATAGTTCAGCAAAATCTGAACTACAAAGACCTCATCTCTCTGGATGACTTTCATGGGAAACATGCACTCTCCCATACCACAGATGATTTTTTTAAATGGTTTTAATAGGTTTTATGGTTTTAAAGTTTTAATTGTCTTTTGCTACGATTTTGGTCATGTATTGGGTTTTTTTTGTGTTTTGAACCCTGTAAGCCACCCAGAGTCATGTATGTGAGATGGGCGGCTGTATAAATTGAACAAATAAAATAAATGAGAAAAAAAAAGATTTTTAACAGAGTTCTTTCAATAACATCTTTTGCCTCCCCTCTCCCCAAGAAAGACTAAACAACAAAATACTTTCAGTAAGTGGTTAACTTGAGAGAAATCTGGGAAGGTGATCTTGAACCAAGTGGAAAATTAGTATAGGAAGTAGCATGACAGATTAGGAGTCTCTTATCTGTTCAATCCTGTTCACACTGACTGGCAATGGATTAAAAACAGATTCCACCCCCCCCCCGAAACTCCCATCCTAAATAATGAGCATGAACTTAACAGAATATAGTAGATGGAGAGATTTGACCCATTTTAGTTTTACTGAACCAATTATCAACTAATTTAACAAAATAGTAAGCACATGGCTTTATTTTCATGCATTAGCCACTTTGGACATGCCTAAAACTGAAGCATGTGAGCAGGTGTTTAACACAATATATCTCATGGATCACTTTCCAAAATCTACAGAATTGCTAGTGATGACATTAGTCTTTGCATGCCTTTCCAGGGGGAAGAGGGAGACTGAAACTGTATTATTACAGGTAGTCCTCAACTTACGACAATTGGGACTGGAACTTCCGTTGCTAAGCAATGCAGTCATAAAATGCGACCGCATCACTTAGCGATGGCAATCCCTGCAGTCCCGGTTGCCATCGTTAACTGAATCCCATGGTCATTAGGTGAGGCAACTTCCTGCCAGCTTCCCACAAAGTCAGTGGGGAAGCTGGCAGCAAGTTGCAAGTCTCAGGCTGTCAGGCAGGTAAGTAGCTGCTGCCGGGTAGGGGAGGGAGTGGCTGCACGAGGGTGCAAAGGGGTGTGTGAGAGGCACAGCATGGGTTGGGGAGGGTGTGATGGGTGTGCAAGAGGTGTGGGTCAGGGAGAGTGCATGAGGGGCGCGGGTCAGAGACGGTGTGCAAGAGGCACGGAGTGGGTCAGGGAGCATGTGCAAGGATGTGAAGGGGTGCATGAGTAGCCAGCATGGTGTAAATGCAGAGGGGCTGGGGATGGGGGAAACTTATCCCAGCAACTTGTGACCTTCCCTGCCAGCTTCCCCATTGACTTTCTGGGGAAGTCAGCAGGGAAGGCTGCAAATGGTGATAATGTGATTGTGGGGTGCTGCAACCAGTGATAAGTGCGAACCAGTTGCCAAATGCCCAAATTGTGATCATGTGGCCCCAGGAGTGTTGGGACAGCCAGTACTCAGAGAGCCGGTAACCACCATTGGTTCAGCGCTGTCATAACTTTGAATGGTTGCTGAACAAATAGTAATAGGTCAAGGACTAACAGCGTGCAAGCTATATATTATTCTCCTGTGACATTTTTGAGTACCGACACATGCATTTCTAAATAGTTTTCGTGCTCATGCAAGAGATGTTTATGAAGATTCTCAGTCATCCAGGTGGAATTGTCTGGAGGTTGAGTCATGGCACCGGGACTTCTTTTCTTTTTGGTAGAGACGTTTCACAACTTGTTCAAGCAGCGACTTGAGAAGCTGCTTGAACAAGTAGAGAAAAGTGCCTACCAAAAAGAAAAAAAGTCCAGGTGCCATGACTCAAC